ACACACACACACACACAATCAATGTTAACCATCGGGTGAGTTGGATGCAGCAGTGTATCTGCTGATGGGAGAAGAAAGGCAGCTGCTCTACTGGTACCGTAACATGAGGGATCCAGTTACACTGTCCGAGGAAGTTTATGAGTGTTCCCATGTGAAAAGATCAGGGCTGTTTTAAACCTCCTTATCAACTCCAACAAGTTTGTCAGACAGTCACGGCATATTGGAGCACTGACAAAGGCTGTCTTTGTGGTCGGGGTTTGGTTTTTGCCTCATCTGTTATGAAGATCTGCTTGTTTTTCCAAGCATCATTGGCCACCTTGAAGAGCACGACGACGGCTCCACGACCACACTGCGTCTCACAATCAGATCCCTAAATATATAGACAAAGAAAGATAAACTCTTGAGACTCAACGTTGTGTGTCTTGGCATTTAAACCTGCTTTATTTCCATATCCCAGAAAATCTGTAGCTATGTAGCCATGCACTGGCAAAATCCATGATCCAAGTAGAGGAGGAGATAAGGCAGTAATGCTATAAACTCCTCCTCGCTGCTTTTCATCATTTACTTGCCAAATCCAGTTAATCCAGGTGGTGCAGAGAGAGATTTAGACTCACCCCCCTCCCCTACCCTGAGCCTGAGGAATGAAAGAGAAAGAAACAGACAAGAGGATGTTGTTTTTAAGTCTTCTGTATTTGTGAATTAATGTACCGTGTCTTTACGAGTCTGCAGAGGTGCAGGTATTACAATGGCAAGTGTGGAAAATAATAGTTCTTCTAACCTTCAACTTCACCCTTCAATGAGCTCCTTTATCTGATGAGCGTAGTCATATACAGCCTGAGACTCTGAGAGACAGTGCCGTCAAAACAGATGCTATCTACCCTCTTCATGTCTAATTACCTGTTTACTCCAAAGGCCTACAATGAATGGTGCTGTTGATAAGAACTCACTTTAGTTTGAGGAAATCATTAAGATTTAAGATTCACATTTGATATATATATATTTTTTTTTACATTCTTTTTACATTCTATGATATACCACATTGTGTTCAACTTGCTCTGTGTTGTGTAAGTTGATATTTCAAAGTATTTATAACTGAAATGATGCTTGTTTGAATAGTACGGTATGCTTTTTGCTCATATCAGTCTCTAGATTCAACAATTGAGTTGATGAAAACTCTCCACAGGAAGATTTCAATAGTTAGACGAATGATCAACATTCCAAGAAAAACAATGCATTTCCCAGAAAGGATTAAGAAAAATAAATTGATATGATAGTCTTTTGAAACTTGTTGCTTAGGTATGACTCAGACAGGTTACTGGCGTGAGAGCTCTCAAGTCTACCTCTATCAATTCCATCAGTCCTCTGCTCACACTTTGGTTATGTTACTACAAACTTAACCTTCTTAAATATGTAAAGCCCTAAATCCTGCATGCCATCTTATCAGCACTGTCAGGCAGCGTACTGATTCAGCCCAGCATGCCAACCTGAATGACGCTGCTTGTCAGGCCACATTGTTGGTATTCAGCTTTTATATAAATATAGGTCAAAGTTACTCTGGAGTGTGAAAAAGCAGATGACTTCAAATGAATGTTTGAATAATTTTTTTTCAGACAACTCAGGAATGACGTGTGCAGGAGAGGTTTCCTTTTTCATTTGAGGAAGTGTTCTCGAGAAAATATTTTACACCCTCATGTTTGCTCAAAGAGGCACACTTGGCAGTTGGGTGTTAGTTAGGGATTAAGAGATTCTCTGCATATATGCTGGTTATACTGTGAAGGAGTGAAATGTCTTGTTATAATAAGGCCCCCATCATGCAATAGTTTGTATGTAAAATATATGAAATATTGAAAATTGATTTGATTTTCTACAGTTCTTCCCGAAACTGATTCCAATACCTGAACTTTACCGAGTACCGATCAGATACATCTCTGCTTGGTTCATCCACTGAAGCTGTGAACACTGCACATGGTTTAGTCATGGTGTACAAATGAATTGTACATGGCTATGCATATTCCAACATCTAGTTAAGTGGATTTTTATACAGCCCAGTATCACAAATCACAATTTACCCCTACTCAATGGGCTTTACAAGCAGTACAGTTAGGATACTATCTGTCCTTAGATCTTTGATTTGTACAAGAAACCCCCACCCCAAAAAAAGACCTTTAACAGGGAAAAAGCAGAAGAAACCTCAAGAAGAGCCAGAGGAGGGATCCCTCTCCTAGGACGTACAGACAAGCAATTGTTATTGTGTGTACAGAATAGAACAACAAAAATTGCAGTATATAGAAATTATGATGACAAAATATAGATACATGTAGATTGCAAAACATAAGTAAAGAGTATGGATTGAGGAGGATGTATAACCTCAGCCACATGATCTCCCCTCCACCATGGAGACCTGGAAAAAGCACAGGTTGCACAAACATAGGCGAGGCAATGAGTAGTATAGTGGTGAAATAACAAATATACAAGTACTTTAATCTGATACACACCCTTGTCCTTTACCTGAAAATGGCAATACTGCCAGAATGCAGCATGTCAATGGTATTTAACTCAGAAAAATCATCCATGGAAAGTAACACAGCAGTTTTGAAGCAGATGAATTATGTGGAGGAGTTTCTAACCACATAGCAGCAGCATGTGAAAATCAAATTCTAGATGAGTATTACTACTGTAAGCTGATACACACAACGGCAGCCAGGTCACAATCAAGCCCCATTGCACCTGCAGGGCAACATACTTACTATACAGGAGGTGTCATACCATGGACATACACTGTCTCATACTGTCACACAGCTGCAGGTACTTGATAGACTTCCTTTACTCTAAGGGCTAAATGCAACTGCCAGTGGACCACATTATACAGGTAGCTCCAAAAGTAGAGATCCAATGGATACGGTAAACCCAGAGATACAGAGATAGAACGATAACATCTGCATTACAAACGGCAACTCTGACAACAACATAGTTTTGCTTACCCTGATCTGTTCACTTTCTTCCATCTCCCATTCAAAATAGTATTTTAAAAAATCTGCACATGTAAATCATTCTTTTGGTTCACAAAATTTACTTGTGTATAATTCATAAAATTTGTGTTATTTTCAAGGAAAAACACCTCTGGTCGATGAGCCTTTTACTAGAATTTGAAATGGCATTCCACTTTCTTATTCCCATGATCGTCTCTGGTAACCATGTTAACAAAACTGGTTTTGTTATAATAATCACACTCATTTGTGATGGCTTTATGACACAAACAAAACTGGCATCTTTCAGATTAAACTGATTTTAAAAAAGATGCACTTAAACCAGTTTTATGATCATCTGGAGGTTATGATGTTGAAGTGGTTATTCTTTTGTGTTATCCTATTATTCAGGATAACATCCAGTTTTCCCAATTTGGATGGAGTCTAAAACACAATGATCTATAATTTCTATTTTAACTTATCTGTTTATAATTTAGTTATTTTAAATTACATTCCCCAAGATGTTTCATACAGTAGTTTTCCTCATGATGTCACCTCAAGAAATTTGAAGAGAAGTCTATCTCCATGTTTTCATCATGTCAGGGGCTCTTTAAAGGAATCAGATCTCATTCTTTGACCCTCATTTACAATATCACCCTCATCTCTGTCTAGTTTTATCTTCTTACAGAATGTAGTTTTACTTTATCACCAGAGTTTAACTCCACATAGATAGTTTGACTGTCTCCAGTATATAACTAGAGTCAGTATTGCAGTGTTATCTGTTAACTATACTACTACACAGTTAAGTACAACTAATTGTCACATACAAGGGTTGTTCTATATAAAAACAAACAAACAGTTGATATACCTGTATTAACATTTAAAAATGAATTAAATGTAATGTGATTTCTGTACTTTGAACTGTATCAGACTGTATTTAAATGTTTCAACATTCATTTAATAATGAATTAATCAACAGTGCTTCAGTGATAAAATGTTTCATTGTGCAACATCAACATATTTTATCTTGAGGCATGAAAACAATTACAGAATGTATTTATGAACAAAGTAATTTCTAATCGTACACTGGTGATGGGTTCAAAATCAACGTCAAATAACAAATAATTAACTTTGATAATGAACATAGAGCCTAAATATCAGGGATACTAAACATAGGTTTATGATTATAAATCATAGCTTCATACATAATTTCACTTTCACCATAACGCTGGCCCCCAGGGGCCACTGTAGTCCCACAGGTAGGGTCTGTACTGGTAAGCTTTGCAGAAGGAGTTTATTAGTGATGATCGGACCAAATCGTCTCTCAGGCCCAGTCCCTCTGCTTTGTACACGTCCTTACAGAACTCTGATGTCTGCTGCTTTCGTTTCGTCTTGTACCTCCGGTTCTGAAACCAGATTTTCACTTGGGTCTCAGTGAGTCTTAAGGTGCTGGCCAGGTGAGCCCTCTCTGGGGCGGAGAGGTATTTCTGGTGGTTAAATTTCTTCTCCAGTTCAAGTACTTGGAAGTGTGTAAACGCAGCTCTGGAGCGCTTCTGTTTCCCTGTGGAGGAATAACTGCTGGACTCTGAGATGCTGGGATAGGATGTGTCCAGAGACTCTGTGAAATACAGAAGAGATCGGCTCATTAAGGGAGAAAAATACTCAGTAATGGTCAGAATAGTGTAAGGCTATGAAGTGGTGGTCATAACGGATCATCATAAGATAAACAACTATGACTATGAATAAAAATACTCTCAGAAAAACATTTTTTCCCCTTAAAACTATTTTTATTTATTGTATTTTATCATGCAATTATTATTATTATTATTATTATGCAACTTCTCATGATACAAACCTGCAATTTATCTCAAAAACATTTATTCCATCTTCTAAAACAATATTTTACAAATCAGAGCCAAATACACAGAATTTGTATTTGTATAACATCACATTGTTGTTATTAACAGCCTGCAGGAACTCACCTGTGTGCACTCCAAACGCTGTCTCCTGAGGGCAGAGTTGCTCTGACAGCATTTCAGATTCTTTGTTCCACTGTGAACATCTCTCTATCTTCTGTGAACAGCATTTGCCATTAAATCCTGAGCTGTCCTTAATGGAGAGAATGTCCTCTATGAGGAAGGAAGTCAGAGGTTTGACTGTGTCAGACATTTCCATCCAATAATCCACAAATCTGAGGCCTCTCAGTGCCAGTGGGCTACAGCGGGAGACGTGGTTGAAGCAGTCTTTCTCCTTACACGCTCACACAGGCTGAATTTATACAAGAGCAGGGGCGGGTTTACTCTGACTGCATCGACAAGTGAAAGAGGCGGGCCAAGTATAGTCAACTATCTGCTTCTATCTTCAGTAACTTTCATTTGTTTGCCTCTTCAGATCAACTTGATGAAGATTTATGAGATCAAACATAAAACAAACAAAAAACACACTCACATTTGATGAAAATGTACAATTTATATACTATAGACTGCACATGCCTTTAAAATATATGTACATTTCAGTCTTTTTACACAGATTTCATACTATACACGACATGAATCTAGTACAGTCTAATACGACAGCTCTTCTTCATGAAGGTTGTAATGTTCAGTTTTTGTTAAAACTATTTTAGAGATGTGTAGACTCAAATTTAGGGTCATATTGGATTGGATTGGGATTGTATTGAATTTCATTACCTTATATTGACAAAAATTGAAGTTTAATCATTCTGTGTAATGCATTATAGAGAGTTAAAATATTAAGTCTCTCTCTCTGTCTCTCTCTCTCTCTCTCTCTCTCTCTCTATATATATATATATATAATATAAATGAGATGGACAAAAATAGAAATGCATTGCATTGAAATATAATGATAATATAATTAAATATATGAGTAGCATATTGTAGTTTAATCGCATATTTTGTACACTGTATGAATTATTCAACAAAATCTGGACTAAATGGACATACAAAATGAGATAATAAACTAGTATCAGATAGGCAAACAATGTATGTTCATATAGAAAGTACTTCCCCTGCTCTAGACAATACAATACAAGTCCAGACAGAAACAATATGTGTGTAGTATAAGGGATTCTCTCTAAAATTATATGTCATAGTAGTTAAATAGATTTATGTCTAGCGTTCGGGCCCCTATCAGCTCGGTGTAGTAACCCGGTTGTCTGCAGCTATAGGGAGACAGCAGTAGGAGGGAGGAGGGGGTCAGAGTGGGGGGTCATACCTACTGGAGCACTAATGACTTCGACACATTTAGGCCGGCTCCTGAACGGACACAGTCATTGCTCTGTGGCTGTTTATTTGTTGTTCTCTGTGGTTCAGCCTGACTTTCTCCAGAGGATGAGATGTTTACCAGCACTGTCTGGGCTCCTCTGGGAGTTCATGCTTCATTTGGAAATGCGTGAATGTAGGTATGATAAACATGATCCTCTCTATGCCCCCTGGCCCTGCTGACTCCTCCAGCTTCCTTGGCACCAACCACACACTGAGAAGTCACCAACACCACCATGTCACATTGATGGGTGCTTGCATTATCGCTGCTTTAATTTGATCAAAGGGCAACAATTACACCTTCTGCTATCACATTTTGATTAATGTTAAATCCTGTGTGTGCAGTATGTACCTATATTTAAAGCCACACCGAGTGCAAAGTTTAGCCTGTTCTGGCCTGTGTTGTGATCATTTATAAAAGCCATCTGTTTTAAATGTACTGAGTTTCCTCTTAAGCATTAGCTGCTGTCTTGTCAACACAGTATTAAGATCATCAGTATGATACGTTTCACCTTGAATTCTTTGTCTGTGACCGTCTGTCTGCAAAAGTATGTTGAACTGTAAGCACAGAAAGCTTTTATCCCTTTGTCTAGACACACAGTTCTTAAAGCCCTTATGTTTATTTTTGGATCATACAGTACTGAATATGGACTAAAATATAGAAAGAGGACTTCCAATTAGAAGAACAATTCAATTTTAGCAAATTTCAGATTTTACAGAAAATTCTGAGGTTTATTTCAAGTATTGATCATTTCAAAAACACATTACACCCATGTTTGGTTGTCATCCAAACCATACTCACTTGGACGAATAAGAAAACACGTGCACTCAGTTCAATGACAAGACTGTAAACAAAGCCTTCCTAAGGCTCTATCAACCATGCTGTCATCCTCTGCCCTTATTCTGAAACAATCCAATGATTGCTCTGAGTTGAAAACATTTCCTTTCTATCTATTGTGTCCTAAGCAGTCATTGCACAGATACTTGGCTGCATAGTTCTGCATCAGATGTGACACAATAGAACCTTTGACCTTTTAGTCCGGGAAGGCATTCGTCTTCCACAGTACATGCTATGTGGTGACAGTGTTTTCTTTGAGACACCGAAAGTTGTTGTGCCATCAATCTTCTACTGTTTTGCTATTTCTTTGTCTGAGATGACGAGCAGTGAGACTTTGTTGTAACTGTAGATTTGTATCATCAGCGTGTATCATACTGCAACCTACACCTGTGTTATTGCACAAGTTCTTCACTCTGTGTATTGTATGACAAAACAAATATGTCATCAGATTGAACAGGTCAATTTGAGGTTTACAGACATATCTCAATGTCTAGTCTCCCCTTTCATTCCTACCCAGTGTCTATTTCCTTTCTCAAACCAAAATTAATCTAAAGAAGAAAAGGCCTGTTTATACGGAATGTTTGACCAAATTCATCCTGTGAGCAGAAGTTTATTTTTGGTTTGTATTTAGTGAACATTAAATGGTTCTTTATGCTTCAGCACATGATAATTATGCTGATTCACACTCTTTCTTTGCAGGAAAAACTGTACGTGTATATTTTGTTGTTATATTACAGTAATCTCATTAACTTTGGTTTGGTAATTTGGTGTATTATTCAAGAAAATACAACCTATTTGTGTGATATGTTGGCATAAATGAGTATTTTGTCATGTGAGAAATGAAATGTCTTCCACTAGAGGGAGCCTTAAAGCCACACATCCAGTCCCCACAGGGTAACAAAGCCAGCAGCCACTTCAAGCTACAGGAACAACCACACAATGAGCTATTTTACCAAAGGATTACTCAGATGAGAGTCTGATTATGCACTGTCAATAGTTATCTAGCTACACGATTGTTACAGGGTGGATGACTTTGTGAATCATTTCAGCACCGATCATAAACACCAGATTGTCATACTGGCTTTTGAAGGTTATTACATAGTCAGAGAGCTGATGTAACTGCATGAGTTCAAACCTTTTTAAGTAAACCATAATGGGTCTTTCACTGATGGCCAGACTCACGTCATCCTCTATTTAAACTGACCCTCATCACAACAGTGTAATCAAGCATCTTTATTTAGGTGTTCCGCTTTCATTCATATGTATCTCTGTGTCTCCATCTCTATCTCTGCATCTGTCTTTTTCTGTCTCTATCTGTCTGTCTCTCTAAATTACGTTCAGTTCAATTTAATATGCTTCATTGGAGTGTAACAAAGACAGTGTTGCATTAGGAAATGAGAATAAAAAGAAAAAGTTCAGAAAATCAAGAAATATAAGACATCTCTCTCAGCCCACATTCTGCCCCATTAGCACCTTTGCCCACTCTGTAATTACCACATGTGTCAGCATAACAGACCAAATCCTCAAATTGTATTTAAAATTCACACAATAAAACTTTTTTTTTACCAAATTCAATTCTCTACAAAGTGTAGTTTGTAAATGTATTTAATATTTTTTTTCATTTCTTTTAGTAATTTTTGTTTTCAAAAATGTTATCCATTTTAGGTCTTCCTTATTTTTGCATTTAAAACACACACACCCAGAACACACCCACCATTAACAAAACTGCTGCAGACTCCTTTTTTCTCTGACACACACACACACACACACACACACAGGCACACACCAATGGATTATCTGATCTCTTGAAGTGTCTCTGGTCTCCTCTCTGTCTGCAGCTTCATCCTTATCTGTGCAGAGATGCTCCTTCCCTCTCTCCTTCCAGAGGTGTTTCTCCTCCTCAGGCCCTTTTGCTTAGTGTCCATTAAAAGTTATTTAGATATTTTTTTTAATTTTTTTTGCACAATTCATTTATTTATTATTTGAACGCTGGAGTTTGTGCACCGCATGAGCCACGCAACAGTGATATACTTGTTATAACTTTAAAGATCAGGATTGTGGGACTTCTTAAAGCTTGTTTTAAAGCTTTTGGTGTGATATCTTTAATCCCTCCACTGTGGATTTAACACCACTTATGAATAAACTGCCATATAATATATCTCTTTCAGGTGCTGGACAACACGTTAAACAACCAATCAACAGCATCTAATGAAATGAAACTGAGAAATATTTGTTTTGCAGTGCAAGTGAAGTCAGTATCTGTGGCTCATCGGCTGGTGACAGGTCAGACTGGAACTGTTCCCGTTTGATTGAAAGTTTGAAAAAGTTAAAGAGCCACTCTGTCTGCGGGTTTGTTTACTAAGCAAAGCTCCGGGACAGGACAAGCTCCCCAGCCTTATCAGCGGATTTGTGAATGGGACAATAATGAGCTCAGTTTGATAGAGCAGCCCTTTCAGGTCAGATGTCACTTCACCCATTAGCTTTTTGATGGCTCTCTTTGATAAACTGCACAGACGACAGCTTCATAACCAATCACCGAAGGGTTTCTAATCAGGTATGTTGGCTTTAATTGGATGCTAAGAGGAACATTACACATTTGAACTGAAATGTCAAATCTAATATTAGTCATTATGAGGACATTAATGACATTTAAAAGCTTTCAACGTATTTGTAACATTGATATTAGGATGAAAACCCCGTTTAAAAACATATAAATAAAAATATAATAACTGTCACAAAAAGAAAAGGATTTAATATAAGACCCAGGGACGAAAATGTGTAAGCATATAAATGTATTTTGACAAATGAACTATCAGAAGCTTCTTGTAGCATATTACATTTTACATTTAAAAATCTGAATCTGAAGCTATTTAAAGTGTGACATATTTTTTTTAATCGCACAAAAATAATAAAGGACAATAAAACGTGAAACAAAGAAGCTGATTTTTAATTTGCCAACAACAGAGAACTGGCAACAGACACAAAATGTTTAATAAAAAATGTGACATGCTGAAATATTTGATAGCTTTGTACCATCCAGACCCATTTTCTATCACCAGCCTTTGACACCCTGTAATGAAGCCTGGAAATGTCCGTGGTTGAAGGGCCCCTCGCTGTTAACGTGGTAATTCGACATACTGGCTGGAGGAGACACACTGTGATAACTGCAGCCATACACGCTGCCGTTTCCATATCCAAACACGGGATTATAATGTCCAAGAGTCACATTATACGGTGCTGAGTGTGAACTTGAGCTGCAGAGCTTCCCGTCCCGCACCAGCACCGGCACCGCCACCCTCCTCGGTGCAGGTGGATACCCCGCCAGCTCCAGAGACCTGTCCTGCCTTTGGCGCTTGCATTTGTACCTCCTGTTCTGAAACCAGATTTTGACCTGTGTGGAGGTGAGTTTGAGGATGTGGGCCAGTTGCTCTCTCTCCGGGGCGGACAGGTAGCGCTGCTGCCTGAAGCGCCTCTCCAGCTCGGACACTTGGGACTGGGAGAAGAGGACCCGGGGCTTCCTGCGCTGCCTGGGTCTGTTTTTTGAGTCCTTGCCACAGTCAGGTGAACTGTCTAGACCGCTTATTTCTGCACATTAGAAAAAGAAACAGTCAAATAAAGTCAAACTTTATAAACTTCGGCTGCTAAATTTTAAATCTGTAAAATATTTGGCTTCCAAAAAAAATATTTTACACATTTAAAATACACACATGAAATAGAGAAACTTATATTTGATTTGTCTAAAATAAAATTAAAAACCTGTTGATGGAGGTGGATGTCATTTGTTTCTATTTACCAGCATTTTCTCCAGCAAAGTCAAATCTGTGATTTTATTTTCTGTAGCCTACTTTTATATCGCATTGCATTATTTCTGCAATATATTTAGGCTACACATTAAACATTAAATTTAACATTAAAAAGAAAAACAACATACTTTATACTTCTGGCACTATTTTGAAAAACAAAATTAAATAAAGCAAATATGAAAAACAACAAGATAGAATAATCTGAGTTGGAGTTAGTTAATAAAAGTTAATTTGATTATTTTGATGTTTTAAAGAAGACATTGTTTAAGACTAAATTTAAACCGTTTACAGTTTGCTACACTTCCCCTAAGTTCAAATTTGATCTATTAGTTAATAAAGACAGCTGTAGAAGAAAGAGCATGTGCTCTCCTTCTCATTAAACTGTGTTAACGTAAAATGATTTTAATTGATCCCAGTGACCAAATACTAATAATTTGTCTTGATCTGATTGTCTGCCTCTTCTTATTGATCACGTTTGGATGACGGGTGGTAAAATGTTGCAAATATATCGCCTACCCCATGTATTTATTGAAAATAAATTCTTGTTAATAATTTTTGATTGACAGATTTTAAGAAAAGGGGGAGATAAGATAAGATAAGATANCCACAATGGGGAAATTCCAAATGTGGCAGGTGGTGGTGTTTAACGCGCTCAAGGCCCCATTCCGTCTGTCGGCCTAAACCTAACCAACTATCAGCAGAGTGTAAATACCTGGAAATGGTTGAATATCATGTAAGTGTGATCTCACCCTGTTCATTTATCTCGTCTTCGGCTGCTGAGTTGTGAGTATCGAGCTTCTCCTGCATCCCAGAGACGCATGGCTCAGGCTGGGACTCATAAATGTCCCTGCTCCGGGACGCACCGTGTACGTGCCAATAATACATCGGGACAACTTGATCGGTCATCAAGAACTCGTGTTCAAAGTCATGGTGGTGCTCCAGCTTTAAAATATCCTTCACTGAAAAAGGCGTCGTGCTCGTTGAACTGGGATGCATCCCCTCCTTTTCCATTTGCCTGTAAAGTGATTTGGATCCTTTTTTTACGCGTTGCTCGAGCTGCTGGTGATGCTGCCGGACGTTTCTCTTAACTGGCTGACGAGTGAGGCCCTGGGAAGATTTTAATCATTCAAGAGTCCAGCTAAAGAGCAAGGTATAGATATATCTGTCACCCCTCTCCAGAGACACTGGCCAACACCCAGCCTCCTTTTCTTCTCACCTTACACAGGAACACCTCACATATTCACCCTGCTCTCTGTGTCGGATTTAATAAGGAGGGTTCATTAAGAAGTAAGACTGCATGAGTTGGTAATTGTATAGGGCTTCCTACAAAACTATTTGAGTTATAAACCTTTGAAAAAAAAACTACATTTAGAATGGTTGTATCATTTTTATAATTTAATCATGTGAAAGAAAGGTGTTGCATACTGATAAATGTTTATTTGTTAACAAGTGCTTTAGACTTGATTCCTTTCCTTTTTTTGTGACCTAAAATGTGTTGAAACAAACGCTTTTGCATTATTAGAGTGAAACTCTTTCAGATAAATTAACCTGTTTAAAAGGTTGGTAATTTATTCAGTGTATACCCAAACCCACGCTTCTGGTCAGCCAAGTAAGCCACTTAATCAGCATGCAGGTCCTCGGGGGTTGAGTGATCTTAGGTGATGTTGAACAGCTTTACCATCAACATTGTTTTCCTGCCACGTTATTAGTGTTCTCAGGCCACAACAAACAGTAACATTATACCTGATGTTGTGGAAGTGGAGTGGCGGCGGCGCCAGCCTGCGATGCTTGACTGAGGCCGAGATGCGCGTCCACACCGACAGGAACAAGGACAGACAAGGCCTGTCCCACTGCAGGACACAGGGAGATATATGGAGGCCACTTATGGCGCTTAGAAGTGATTAAAACTGTTGACTGGTCCTTTAGAATAACTGGAGTAATAACATATGTCATGGTTAATGGTAAATGTTTATTACAAGATTACAAACGTTTATTTGAGATCTCATGAGGATTTAAATATGTATCATGATTCCTGTTTCTCATTATTTAGAAATCACTATGAGTTTATAATTAGTTAACACTTTAAGAGATTAATGAATAGATTAACGAATGGTACTGTAACTCAAAGTAATGTATTTGTTGTTGTGATTTATTTTGACCTCATTACCATAGTAAAACTTTAGCAAAAAGACAAGACTCAAACTTACAACCTCTGAACTACGCAGCTGGTTATTTAATTTCTTATCACCTGTTGTTGCAAGTTTGGCTGATTACCAAGGGCAGGTAGATCTGTTCTTGGGCTACATTTGGGTGGAGCTCTGTTGACAGGTTGTTTAGGTCAGAGAAATCAGAAAAGAGTCGCATTGATGGAAATTGCCCTTCTCCAACGTAATTAACAAAGCAGCCAGAAAACATTCACTCTGTCCGGACAACAAGCGAAAAACACTGATGTAAGTAAACCATAGGGGGTAGTTGTTCTGTTTGCCACTAGGGGTCACCAAAGCTTCATGGGGGGATTGCAAGGCCTTCTTGATTTTATATTTTTTCGGCTTTTATGCCTTTATTTAATAGGACAGCTGGGAGGGATGACATGCAGCAAAGGGCCGCAGGTCGGATTCGAATCCTGGGCCGCTGCAGCAAGGACTCAGCCTTGGTACATGGGTCGCCAGCTCCACCCACTGAGCTAACCGGGGCTATATTTCAGCATTTGGTTCACTTCTGTGAAGAAACGTAAATGAAAAGTGAAGTAAATTGTTGTCCAGTAGAACAATGGCTGAGTGTCAGGGACAAGAAAACACTGAATTTGTCATAAAAGCTAAGTACGTATGTATGACTGTTAAAAATAATTATAAATACACAATACGGAGAACGGTATAAAAATAACAGGAAATAATCTACTCAAAATTCATCCAAATAACTAGTTTCACACAAACGTCTTGCAGTTCACTATTTGGGTTCATTGTACAGTCTTGAATATAATATGAAATATCTATAAAATATGTCACTTAAGGGTCCCTTAAGGAAAAAGATTGGGAACCACTGCTTTAGAAATCACCTAAATGCCACCAGAGGTCGCTGTTTCTGAGGTTTAATTTAAACTGGCTGCGTAGACATGGTCTAACAGAGGTTTAAGGTCTAGAGTTCAGTATTTGGATCACCATGTGAAGACATGTTTTCATCAGACAGCGGTCAGTAGCTACATCAGTCCTACACATCAACATATAAAGGATGGATGCCATGACAGCTGCCCACATTGAAGCCAAAACATCATGATGATAGTTTGTGTTTTATAGTTATGGTTATGTTAGTGTGTTTTTTTAATTTTTTATTTAATTATTATTATTTATTTAGTTATTTTGCAGAATAAGTATATATGTAGAAAGAAAAACATAGGACCAGCAATTTTTACTAGAGCAGGAGAGCCATGCAGGAACCAGGATTTTCTTTGTTTTTTGCTTGTTTTGAGAAAATAAACCTTATAAATACACAAAGTTGGAATGAACTATAAACTTCTTTTCCATGCTGCAGCAGTGGCCCGTTTAATCCTAAATTTGAATTCAGTTTGATTTAATTTCAAGT